CCAAGCGTACATACATTTGGATTTTCCTCTTGCCATTTATGTGCACTGTTTTCCACATATATAGTAGTTTTAACTCAGCCGTGAATGCAGCTTGTGATGTAGCTGAGTAGCCGGATATAAAGGTGAGGCGACAAAGGTCAATATATCAATTAAAATTTATTTTTAAACTTTTTTTGTATCGTTTTATATGAGTAACAAATGCCTTAGATTTTAAGTAAAATTTTAGGTTTTATTCTTCTCAATCATCTCACGATTTCCGTTAGACCAATTCCAAATTTTCCACCTCCATTCGCACACTCAGAGCAACGTGAGAAACCCATTACGTACTTGGAAGTATTCAATTCGGGTGGAGCCTTGGCACAAGGCAGAGAGATATGGGGCCTCTACGGCTTATTCGATTTAAGGGTCAACTGAAGTTAGCTGTGGCTGTTCACCATTAGGCAGCAAGCTGCTCGCTTTATATTTTCATATTTCAGAACACCCAGGGTTGTGCGCTAAGTAAAAAACAGACATAGTGAAAACGCGCTTAATTTCCCCAAACGTTTACGACCGCGTACACGAAGTACGGGACGATGAGGCCAAAGAGCGTTTCCTCTCTCCTCTCAAGCTTCATCACAAATACATATTGTTAAAAATATTTCATAGAATGGAATAACTGCCAAAAGTTAAAGTGGGTCTTCGAAAATATTCTTTCTATGATATCATTCATTTTCTAATTTACAATCATAAAAGTCGTTTTTCTGGTAAAAAAAATTCATATTTCGGATTATAGCAGTACGTTCACGACGTAGTGGCNATTCTTTCTATGATATCATTCATTTTCTAATTTACAATCATAAAAGTCGTTTTTCTGGTAAAAAAAAATTCATATTTCGGATTATAGCAGTACGTTCACGACGTAGTGGCTTAGCAAATTTTACAATTTTTCGAAATTTGTAGCAAATTTACTACGATCATAGCAAAGTGCCAACGCAAGCTGTCACTTCAATTGAAGTTTTCCACTTCACTTTGGAAGCCTTCATTTCACGAATTCATTTTACTTCGCCTTACTTCACTTTCCACAAATTATATTTACCTCCAAAATAAATATAAATTACTTTGAAATAAATTATTTATTTAACCAAAGTCAGCAATATTTTGCTAAAATTCTTGTTAAGTAGTAATTATGGCAAAGTAACTTTTCGCAAAAAGATGCCTAATAAATGAATCTCCGATATGATACCGGTTATTTGGTAGAAGTCATTTTGATAGTAAATAACACTGGTTTATGGCAAAACCGTTCAATGGATGCCACTATCTAAGTCCTATTAAGAATTGCTCATTGATTCCGAAAATCGGCTTAATTTTTTATTCTATGAATAAGTTTCCAAAATATTTTCAATTTACCGNGTTAAGTAGTAATTATGGCAAAGTAACTTTTCGCAAAAAGATGCCTAATAAATGAATCTCCGATATGATACCGGTTATTTTGTAGAAGTCATTTTGATAGTAAATAACACTGGTTTATGGCAAAACCGTTCAATGGATGCCACTATCTAAGTCCTATTAAGAATTGCTCATTGATTCCGAAAATCGGCTTAATTTTTTATTCTATGAATAAGTTTCCAAAATATTTTCAATTTACCGTTATTCAGTTTAAAACAAAAAGTGGTTTAACTTATATTAATATGAAATACGGTAAATGAAAGCTAACAAAATTCTTCATAGACCGTATGNCATTTTCAATTTACCGTTATTCAGTTTAAAACAAAAAGTGGTTTAACTTATATTGATATGAAATACGGTAAATGAAAGCTAACAAAATTCTTCATAGACCGTATGTACATCACTTTTAGATAGGTCTGATAGTTTCTGACAAATTAATTAATCATTCCAGATTTTTTTTTTAGGAAAGTATGAAAAAACCAGAAGAAAAATTAAAAAACTAACAGGTTCTGAGTCAAATTGTTGCCTTTATGCCAAAGCCTGTTCTGTTACAAAAAAAATCAAGTTACTATTGAAGCAAATCGATTGATAAATAAAGAAGTAATGAGTAAAGCAAGCTACTTATATGCGCATGGCGTATGAGTAACATTATGTCCTGCTCATTTCTCATACACAAAATCTTTGCGCATTTTCATTTCACCACTCATTACTTCTTTGTTTATCAATAGATTTGCTTCATTAGTAACTTGATTTTTTTTTTGTAACAGAACAGGCTTTAGTACAAAGGCAAAAATTTTACACAGAACCTGTTAGTTTTTTAATTTTTTTCCTGTTAAAATTTGATTTTCTTATTTTTTTCATAAAAAAAACTGGAATGATTAATTATTAATTTGTAAGAAACTGTCAGTCCTATCGGAAAGTGATGTATAGACGGTTTATGGAAAACTTTGTTAGCTTTCATTTGCCGTATTTCATTTTCAGTTGGTTAAATCGGTTCCTGAGATATAAGTAACTAAGTGGCACCACCTTTTGTTTTAAGCTGAATAACGGTAAATTGTAAACATCTCGAAAACGTATCCATAGAATAAAAAATTAACTCGATTTTTGGAATCAGCGGGCGATTCTACATACAAATTGGATAGTGGATTTAAATGAAAAGTCGCTTCTTAGTAAAATTGAGGACGCTTAATTCAAAAATGCAATTGGTTTTTGGATAACTTTCATACTTTCACTGTAAATGGAGTTTGAAGTTGAAAATTTGGGTTCTTGTGGCTTTTACATAGGTATGTACATATAGTTCGTTCTATTTTCAAAGGTGGCAAATGACAGTGCTTGGCCTGTAGATGTGCAATAAAGTTTTTTACCTTTGAAAAGGGTTGCCACCTGTTAAAAATTTTATTAAAATTATTTAATAAGTTAAAATAATTAGATATTAAAATATGGGTATCAACTGAACTAGTTTTGAAAATATTTTACTTCTAAATGACACGTAGGAGGGTTACCACATGTTTAAAAAATCAAATTCACTTTAATTAAGGGAATAAGGTAACTGAAATATGTATATCAATGTGAGTATCAGACAAATGAAAAAATTTTACATATTTAGCAAGAAATAAGTGGAGAGTAAAAACATTCCTGAGTTAATTTAAGAGTCCAGTCATTTAAAAGGAATGTTATCAGAACAAATCACTGATTGACAATGTATGTATTTGTGATAAACCAACAAATACGAAGGCGTTATCCTATGGTATGACGTAATTATTATTTTAGTTTAACTAAATTCGATTTTACAAGGAGGTGGCAACCCTATTCGTAATATTATTAAGCTAAAACCTTCTTAAACCTCTTTCGTCTTACTCCCTTATGGTGATACCTATCTATCTCAATTACCTAATTCCTTTAATTCAAATGGAATTTGATTTTTTAAACAGGTAGCAACTCTCTAGATGTAGCTAACACAGTTCGATTGATACCCATCTCTTAATAATTCATTTAACTTATAAAAAAATTTTAATATAATTTTTTAACAATCTAATTTGTTAACAGGTGGCAACTCTTTAAACAAAATAAACCTTCTCATGATTCAATAATACAAGGTTCGATAAACTGACAGTTGTCTCTCTCGCACCGCTCCCTTAGCAGAGGCACCGTGTTGCTTCTTTCCAAATTTACATGGAAACAGTGTAGCTTTGGTATGAAATAAAGTATAAGCTTTTGTGCAATATGTTTATTTGTATATACATATGAAGCATATTTAACTGATGAAGACATAAACTGTTTTTAAATTGGATGTTTACATCAATCTCATAGTAGTCTTATTTTAATTTTAAGTCATTTTGCAATTTTTATACAGCTAAATAGCACATAAATTACGTAATTCACGTAGATATATCAATATTACGTTCAACATTTCGTTTAAAATGCCAGATTTCCTGCAAATACATTAGAATTTACGAAAGGAATTTCACTACTAATTGCCTACTCTTCTAGTACCATTTTCGCACCAAGAGATTTCATTCTTCCCCTTTTTTCCGTCCTTCGAAAAAGCAACCTTTTGTAAGGGAGTGTCAAACCGCAGCTGTCAATAATTATCTAACCTTGTATTATTGAATCATGAAACATTCTATTGTCCATAGGTCAATCTTTTTAATCTGACACTTCATTTTTGAAAATGGAACGAATCGTGCAGATCTCAAGGCACTGACAAAAAATTAAAAAAAATTATTTTATGCGTTAGCGAAAAACGCATTACTTCAGAAAGTGCAAAAAATGAGCAGGCTTTTATTTCTTTTTTTGAAAGCTGAAAGCCCGTACTATTTAACAAAATATTAAAAACTAACCTATTTTTACATATATTTTTTTATCCATTCCATTAAAAGTTAGCACTTTTGAAATTTTGTTTAAAAAAACTGTTTTTTTGGAACACCGCAGGGACACCCTGTGTTTAATTTTATTCCAAACCTTTAATTCCTGTAATTCTCTACTATCTATGTATATGGAAACAAGAAACGTCAAACCAATATTTTATTTCAAAGGATATATTTTTGACATTTTTTTCTGTGAAGAGCCATGGCTATGCTCTTATTAAAATTCTTAGTATAAAATTTGTCGACTTTAGTGGATTTCTGGAGAAATGTCTGTTTAATTCTTTTTAGGGGATAAATTGTCTTTACAAAAATACCAAACAAGCTCACATTGCAGATAACGAATTTTTCGATTTTTGCCCACTTAGGCGGCACTGTGCGTCTGGAGAACAAAAATCAAATTAAAATTTGTGATCCAGTGTAATTGACGAACATAATTATTTTAGTTTTCATACATCTTTAATTTTATAGCAAAAAGGAAACTTTTAAGTGAATCTGGTGATGACGTTGTTGCTGTGTATCAAACTTGTTTCCTTTTTTTTTATTCCAAAACCGAAACCTGAACTGAAACAAATTTTAAAGAACGGAACCAAAACCGAAACCGAAACCGGGACGCTAGTTTGAATCGGTTTCATTCCTTGATTTAAAAATATGCACATGTATTTAGTTATATGCTCTGTTTATTAATTAATTGAAAATCTCACATTGCAGTCACCAGTTAATAGCCGAAGTCAATCTGGCGCCGGCTGTGAATAAAATGCTGTCGAATTGTGATGAGATCATTCGCCAGCACAAAGCCGCCTGCTTACGTGTCACATCGTTGCTATCCTGCAGAGACCTCATTTGGATCGGCACAAGTGCAGGCGTCTTGCTCACAATTCCGGCGCAGGGCTTCGAGAAGGGAGTGCAAAATGTTGTGCCTACTGGAATACCGCACGGCCACACGGGACATGTGCGCTTCCTGACATTTGTTGAGACCAGCGGTCTAACTTCGGAAGTCAGTTGCAGTAGCACAGGCTCAGCAGGCCGTGATACCGAAAATGCGGGGAGCAGTAGTGAGTACAGGAGCCAAAGGTATAGCATTTTTCTTATTGATGTTATCATATATTTATATTTACATATCGCACACCTAGACCTAAAGTGCGATCAACTCAAAATAAAATTATGGCGATTTTTTCATAAATCAATGCATAGGACTTACATCCAATTAATACGAATACTTTTTTCTTCATGATTATTTGCATTAACTAAAAAACTACTGTTATACCTTTTTTTGTATTAATTTCATTGAACCGGTACGATCCACAAGCAGTTGTATTTCTCTCTCTGAATTTTGAGTTAGCTCACTTTAGGTGTGGGATATAGGCTGAGTTCCATGTTGGTATATTGCAAAGCATCAGCCTCTTTTATTTCTAACCTATAGCTGATGGAAATGACCAATTTGCGCCACTAAGTTCCAATTCGGCATTTGAACATGGTTGCGCATATTGGACATTTCCAACAGTTATAGTTTAGAAATAAAAGAAGCTGATGCTTTGCAATATACCAACTTGGAACTCAGCCATACATACGTATATTCTAAAAATTTTCTGTCACTCATTTCACCCTTTGTAGTTCTGCGAAGCATTTGAAGCCAAAGCCGGAATCCAGTACTATTCTAGTAATTTCTGGTGGCGATGGCTACGAAGACTTCCGTAACTCGGGCGCGAATTCATTAAGCGAAATCGCCGGTCGTGAGGACAGCACCAATCATTTGCTTATATGGCAAATTTGAAGTAGGCGCCGCAAGAATCGCTGGAAGGAACTACTTTCACGGTGGAAAAACAACAACTAGTGGTGGCAGCGTAGACCGGGCGGGTACCGGCGAAAGCGTGGAATCAATCGACACACGAGCACAAGCATCTAAATACATATGTAGAATGCAATGACTTAGTGACGATACGCACACTTTCTGGCAAAGAGGCAATTTTATGCGTTAATACGTTTCCTGCTTCGCGACTACCGAACGGATAATGAAACAAAACATAAACACACAAACAACGCAAACAAGCGTTGATATCCAAAAAAACGGGATAATTTGTAATCGGATAATTGTTTGCACACTTTTATTTTTACTGACTACGCCAATTGGGCTATGCGAATGTAAAATTTCGACTCGTAGACTTAAATACCTACTAGTTATTGAGATTATGTATTATTGCTGAAAAGCTCACATACACAACACACGCCTACGTACATTCATATAGGCATACATCAACGGCGGCACTTGTTTTGCCGCCCAAACGATTCTAATAATTCGAAAAGCGAGAATACAAATATGTTTTAAATAATGGATAAGGTTATAAAACAATTTTACATATACATACATATGTATAGAATGTAAGTGTTTGTTTATACGTTTTAACATTTGCGTAAACTTTAAATTTCGTTCCGACGTTTTCAACTACCAAATTTTTACATACATACATATGCCCACAGATATGTATGTATACATATGAAAAATATACACACGCTCATACATACTTACCCCTATGTACTTAGAATTGATGTTAAGTGCGTGAGGTGCGTACCGAGCCCTAACCGCCAAAAAGACGTAAGCGACTTTTTTCAAAATTTTATTTTTGATTCAGAAATGCATTTAGATGTTCTAGGAATATTTCTGCATCAAAAAGAAAATTTTGAAAAAAATGTCGCTTACGTATTTTTGTCGGTAAGGGCTCGATATGTACATATCTACATTCATACCTTAGTATAGAAAGGCCCTTTCTAAAGCTTTTGTGGCTTTACAGAGTAGCTACAACACTTTAAAAAACTGAAGTTCTTAAGTTGGAAATTCCTTCAAAATCCTGGGTGTAATAAACTTTCAAACTAATTTATTGATGTAGTAGTTGTTTTTAAATTATTTTAGGCAGTTCGAAAGAAAATGAGTTAGGAACTTTCTATATTAAGGTAAGGTTATGTATATATTGAAAATTACTTGTGGACAATTGAAAAAAAAAACAATTTAAGTCAAGTTCGGTTATTGTTTTTTGTTTTAATTTAAAGCATTTAATCGTTTCGTGTGCAATTCTTAAAGTATTATCTGCTCATAAATGTTGTTTCAGATTTCGAGTTAGTAAAAGTTCGAACGAAATATAGACTCTGAGTGCGAAAGCGCTATTTATGTATTTACGCTAAATCAAAACTTCTGAAATCACTTAAAATATTTTTTTCAAAGACTTCAGCTATACATATATATATACTTGTATACATATGGATGCACAGTTAATTAAAATTTATTTAGTGAATTTCAATGTACCTATGTATAACTTTTTATCAAATTTGTTAGAAAGAAAATTCAAAAGTACAGGCGTACATATGTATGTATATACAAACTAAGCATCCACCTAAATATACACATATACATAATTGAAACAAGCATATGAATATACTGAAGCTGAAACTGAACAATGTGCCAAAATGTGTTTCCTTTGCTATACTAATAGATAATAAAAAAGTTAATTAAAGGTATACATACACACATACATACATACATATATACTATGTACTTAGACAAATCACCATTTACATCTAGCTTGTGAGAGTTGTTTGAGATTTTTTTGAGATTTTTTTTCTTAAAAAATCCTTTTGCATTTTAAGCTTGGTAGGAATCAAAGAAAACTGTAACAGCATATGTATAATTCATGGAAAGAATATACATATATACATATACATATGTAGATGTTTAAGCATACTTTCATACCTAATAAGTAGCATATTAACGGGTACTGATGCATAAATACATACATACATAGATCCCAAAAAAATATTTTTGAACCGATTGAACAATAATTGAATAAATTGATACTACTTAATAACTATTTACAATAAACGAGTACAATGAGCTGAAGATAGATTGTATTTGTAACTGTTTATATTATGCAAATAAGTATGCTAAATTAAAGCAAATCTAACAATTTTTAAATGTATTTAAAGCTATCAAAATAAAATGAAACAAATGCAGTTATTGTACAGCTGAGTATATGTATATTCGGAAAAAAGTTCGTTTCTACTAAAAAAGGTTACCTTCTGTTTGCCCTCTATGCACAAATTCTAAGAAGAGGACTATGAGAAGGCAAGACTTTTTGTAGAAACGAAAACGCCATTATTTAAAGCCAAGACTAATAGCACATATGTATTTAAGTATATGCATGCATACATACATACATATGTTTGTATATGGATATGTAAATACCCAGTAGAAATCGGTTGTATGCATTCATGAAGTATGCCTGCTGTGTGAGTGAAATAGTGTGAACAACTCATGTGTTGTCATGAATTTCCACAAATAAATTGAAATTCCAGCGAACTGCAAGCGTGCGTTTTTTTAAATACATTTCTTGATAAATTTGACTACTATACAGCAGTGGAGTTTTTATAATATTTTCAGTCTTGTACAAAAATTTTAGTGAACGGACGTGTTGTGCGATATTATTTTCAGCACTAACGGGCTTTTACAAGATATGCATTTGCATATGTAAATGCTACTTTTTTGTATGTACCCGTTTGTACCACATATTAAAATGTATCAGAAAGTAGCATTTACATATGGAGATACATATCTTGTAAGAATGCTATAATACTGTTCTATTAATGTATTTTTGTGTGTTTGAAATATGAATACAGCCATATGCATACAGCTGTAGTACAAGTGTATGGTTAGAGTATGCATACGATATGAGAAACCACACGTGTTAAATGGCAATGAAGGTTCATTTATACTGGCACGTATACACAGCAGCAAGTTCATCCACCAACAGCATAAAATTTCTACTGGGATACGTCTGGTGCATTGAATAACTTTAAAGTGTAGTCTGCCAATCAATAAGTCGAATTGACAACACAGAGATGAGCGTAAATTTATGTGCATGCATGTATACATACATATATTTTTTATAAAACATATGTATGTACATATACATGTATGTCAAGGCCAATTTTAATACAGTGCCAAACAGAGAATATATATATATTTACTTAAATATGTAAGTGAAAATCAATATCTAAACCAGAACTGTAACGTATTTTTACCTGCGTACACAATATTTACATATGTTTGTATCTAATTAAATACTACATATATATGTATACAATGTTATTGCTTGATAAGTGCATACATATTTAGAAATTCTCAAAACTAATATCAAACCGAATCTAAGCTGGGGTCGAAACAGTTAGTGCCAATGGGATCCTTAAGTGACATGTANTATGTACATATATATGTATACAATGTTATTGCTTGATAAGTGCATACATATTTAGAAATTCTCAAAACTAATATCAAACCGAATCAAAGCTGGGGTCGAAACAGTTAGTGCCAATGGGATCCTTAAGTGACATGTACACACAGGTAAACGTGCTCCCAGACAAATGTAAATTTAACAAGGAAGCATAAGTTTTTGATTGAAATAGTATGCTCACGTTAATCCATAAACTCGAGTTTAACATTTTGTGTTTATGAACAACTATCAAGTGCTCTCATTGCGGTGTTTAAGAAACTCAGAGTTTAATTTGACATTTGTTTGTTTTTTAATGACATTTAGCCTGTTTCCGTGCTCCAGGACTTGGACAGAAATAGTCCGAAATAGTCGTGGTAAATGGGAACAAGTCTAGAATACCAACCGTTTAGCAGCTCTAGCTTCAAAGGCCATCGGCTGAAAAAAATAACAATGAGGATGGAACTGTTTACGCTGATCTCAACCATACCAAACCATTTGGCGTAAATAAAAAACAAAGCCAATAAATGNAGCTCTAGCTTCAAAGGCCATCGGCTGAAAAAAATAACAATGAGGATGGAACTGTTTACGCTGATGTCAACCATACCAAACCATTTGGCGTAAATAAAAAACAAAGCCAATAAATGAGGTTAAATTTGTTCGTTTATATTTCTTATACAGCCATGGCCAATAGTATTCGGAACGCCAATATAACTCGTATTATTTTTTGTTTATTTAACCCTCTAGTAGGCTGAACCGCCTCCAGACGGTTGTTAACTAAACACGTATTTAGGGCACCTATAATAATTTTTTTCTATATTCGAAAATGTAAATTTTAATCCGTTATGTCAATCCGTTTTATTTTAATCGGCAGTTGAATCACAGATTGTGAAAGACTCGGTTAAAATTAATTATAACTTGCTATTAAGTAATTTCGTAATTAAAGAAATTTTATCTTTTGAAACATTTTTCGATACAAAAAAATTCAGTGGGTTTTGTAGTTAAAAGCACAGTATTTTAATATAAGTTTTATAATTATGTCACCATTCGAAATGGAGCAAATTGCTTTCGAACACAGACCGTCTACGGTCAAAGTATATCGGCGCGCCCGTCTCCAGACGGTCTTGGTTTTTTCCCCTGTAGGAAAAAGTTACTGTCACAGATCGAAATGGACATAATTTTTGGATTTCTCGTGCTAGAATCACTCATTCTTGAATTTTTAAACTCATACAAAAATTGGCCTACTAGAGGGTTAATGTTTAATATTTTTTTTTATAATAGTCTGACACCATTCGTGTCGAATGCAAGTCGTTTTTCGAGAGTCGAATCGTATCGAAATTTTCTTGGTATTGCCTAAAATCTCGACTCGACTAGTGTATTAAAACGGAAAAACTGCATAGTTTTGGCAATTTTCGTCATTTACTTCTTTCAGCACGACAGTAGACAATGCTTATATTGTCGAGTATAATTTACCCAAATTTATGACTTACGCAATGAGGCTGAATATCTCGGAAAGTACTTGACCGATTTAAAAAGTGTTGATGCAAATTTAAAGACAATGTAAGCAACTTTTATGCAGCGTACATACTATAGCCACTTTTAAAATAAATTTTAAATAAACGCAATTTAAAATAAAAATATATTTATATATATTTTGCTTTTTAATATTTCCGGTTTAAAAGTATAAAAAAGCATATACATTATGTACACCAAGAGAAAGAAAAATTAATTACCGATATTAATATTTAAAAAAATAAAAAAAATTTAACTTCAACCTTTTACATCTTCTTTGTTTTTGGTTTTTGCATAGCTAAATGGTTGGTACTCTAGACTTAAGTGTATGGAATGAGTATGGACTGTTTCTGATGAACTCTCCTCAGTTCCTTGAATACGATCATATACAATTTTTGAATTATATTTTATTAAAAAAAAAATGAATCGTCGAAATGAACGATAAATCAATATACATATAAAAATATTCCGGGCATGCGCAGTTCGTTCCCAGTAGAAATTTTTTCTGTACATATACGTATCGTATACAAACACATCTGCAACATTGTTTGAAAATTTCTAGGCATGCAGTTTTATAGCTCATTCTTTTTTAATNTGAATCGTCGAAATGAACTGGGTTTTTGTAAAGTACATATATTTTGCCTGAACGATAAATCAATATAACTACATATAAAAATATTCCGGGCATGCGCAGTTCGTTCCCAGTAGAAATTTTTTCTGTACATATACGTATCGTATACAAACACATCTGCAACATCTACTCAGATTTGTTTGAAAATTTCTAGGCATGCAGTTTTATAGCTCATTCTTTTTTAATACAACAAAGTGCAATTTTGAAGTTGCTAAATTTTTGGCAATTTTTTCACGCAGGTTTTTTCATACAAAGTATGTTCGACAATTATATTTTGTACGAAGAAAATGAGCAATACCTTCCACAAAAAAAATAGCAACTTCAAACTTGCACTTTTTATACTAAAAACGAATGGGCTATAAAATTGCATAATTATAATTTAAAAAAATCTGATTAGAAGTTGCAGATCTGATTGTATATATACGAGTGTATACGCAAGAATCAGTTTGACAAATTTTGGGAGGACAGATGAGGGTTAAATCCTATATTACCGGAACAGGCTAATTGTCAGACTTCATCAGTGCGGCCAAAA